TTTTTTTTCGAAATTCCAAAAAAGGGGGCCTGTGGGGTTAACTTTTGCCCGACAAAATATTGTGAGATGAACATATTATTTAGTACTATCAGAGGAACACATCCATAGAAATAAACTGCCATCCACGTGTATTTTGAAAAAGTTATCATTTTTTTTTCGAAATTCCAATAAAGGGGGACTGTGGGGTTAATTCTTGCCCGACAAAATATTGTGAGATATACATATTATTGAGTACTATCAGAGGAACACATTCATAGAAAAAAACTCCCATCCACGTGTATTTTGAAAAGGTTTTGATTTTTTTTCGAAATTCCAAAAAAGGGGGCCTGTGGGGTTAATTCTTGCCCGACAAAATATTGTGAGATATACACACTATTGAGTACTATCAGAGGACCACATTCACAGAAAAAAACTCCCATCCACGTGTATTTTGAAAAAGTTATGATTTTTTCTTCGAAATTCTGAAAGAGGGAGTTGTGAAGTTAATTCTTGTCCGACAAATTATTGTGAGATATACAGATTATTATAGACCCTCAGAGGAATTCATTGATGTGAAATAGTTTCATGCATAGACATATTTTGGAGGTTTAAGTAATTTCATGGCCAGCCATGAATATAAATTAATAATGAACGACCATTGGTGGTATGGCGCGCGCCTTGAATATTAGGCGAAGTCTCGGCTGGAACTTGTGGCTGGTTTCACACTGATCTGGTTTGGAAGATCTTTTTTGTCTTGATCTGAATGAGGATCGGTGTTGTTTCCCAAGAATACATTCATGATGTATACCAATGTTATGACGTTTCAAAATATTTTTGACATTATGTTTATTTTCATGACATCACCATTCATGCCAAAGTTGAAGGTTTCCGGATGACGAAGTAACATATACCTTACTAGAAATCATTGGTTTGCAGGCAATCATATCCAGAAAAAACAATCCTTTCTGGTTTCTTCGGTCGCTCAGACGAATCACTCTTCCTCTCTTGATAAAACAGCTATCTTGGTAAGCTTCAAACTGGTAACCCTTGTTGAGAGTTTGCCCAACACAGAAAAGGTTTATCTTGATATCAGGTACATACCACATGTTTTCAAGATGATTCATGGACGTTTTATTGTTTACTTCCATATGAACATTGATATTTCCTTTACCATAAGCAAAAATAACAGCACCATTACCGACCTGAAATTCTTTTGGAATAACAAACGGTTGATAATCGATGAAATTCTCATTGTTGCTTGTCATGTGAGGCGATGCACCTGAATCAGTTGACCATTGCTCGTTGCTCTCAACATTGTCCTTCGTGCTCTTGATCACACTAGAAAATGCAGCTTCTTCGGCATCTGTCTTGTTTGCTTCATCCATACGTTTTTTATTTGGACAGTTCTGACCGACTTTATGACATTTTATATATTTTCTCACTGGTTTTGATGATCTTCCTAATCGTTTTGTGTTAGATTTAGCAACAAAAGCTGTTGTGTTGTTACTGGGTTTCACAGGCAATCTCATCTTAATCAGGCGTACACGTAAACTTGTTGATGGTTCTCTCGGTCACAGGAACTGATTCCCAATCACTTTAGAATTCGAAGTACTCACATTGAAGAGTAGACAAAATTCTGGCAATTCTGCACGTACTAGCTTTTTCATTTCATCGTTCAGTTCACGAAAATTTCTTTGGAGTCTAGTTATGTCTTCGGAAGGATCTTTATGTGAACTGAAGAACTATTCCATCAGTCTATCGACCCGCTGTCTAGAGCTCTGTTCATATACAGACAAAAGTTTCTCTCATGTGGAATTCGAGGTGTCGCAAGTCGCTGTTAGTTCGACATTTGCGTCATTTATGCTACCAACTAAAATCAGCTGAGCTAATGCATCTAGTTTCTTGAAACGTCTCAATTCTGCATTAAACTGGATAATAGCTTCTGGTGTCGCAATATCACCTGGATTACCTAGAGATTGAATCTCTCCAGTTGTAACTTCGAAAACTCCATTTTGTCCAATTTGATGCCTCGTCTGGGCCCATAACCTGTTGAGCTATGTGGTAGAAACTATATAAGATACAAATCTGATTGACAAATATGTTTTTATATCGTTAGCCAACTGAACTGATATCAATAGAATATATAGCACACTTGATCAACATATACAGGATGATACTTTTATGAATTCAAGAATATGATTTTAGACCTGAATGGTATACTTTCAAATAAAATCAAATGCGGCAAGGTGTTAGCAATGTTAGACTGTAGTATTGCCAAAGAAAATTCGAACCTATTCAGAATTCTACAAGGAAATTCTCCATATTCGTTCTCATCAAGATGTACCAGATATCAGATGAAGAAAAAATGATGAAATTATTTAAAGAATGTCAACTTGGAGATAGAAAACCTAGTCAACTGTATCAAGAGATGAAGGAACTTGCTTCAGGACAAATGACATCGAATTGCATCGCTTGTTGGCTTGGCTGAAGAAACTACCTAGCACAATAGAACAACTCATTCGTGCATTCCATGAAAAACTGCCAGAAGAGGAACTACAAAATATGGCTGATGGAATGATGAAAGGAACGAGTTCAGAGGTTTGTGCTGTCAATCTAGCAGGGAAAAAAGTTACATAGAAGACAACCTTGAGCAACTGATTCAGAAGCTAGATGAAGACATTTCAAAAAGGAAAAGCAAGTCTCCTGAACGGAGTTGGAATCGGTCAAGATCCAGATTCAGATCAAAATCAAGAGTTCGAGAATCGAATCCAAATTATTATCACAGATATTTTGGCAGTTCAGCTAGAAAATGCATATAACCATGCACTTTTGATGAAAAATCTTCGGAAAACTCGCAGGCCAATCGCTTGTGACGACGTGCGAGGATGGCCCAAAAGAAAGTCGTCTGATAATATTCAATCCTAATACAAAAATCAAATTTTTAATTGACACAGGTGCTGACGTATCAGTTATACCAAAGTTGAGAAATCAGCATTCACCAGAATTCGAAAATAAAAAGCTGCAACTGGTTAAAAAATAGCGACATATGGAAAGAGAAATGTAACTGCGACATTTGGTTTGGGAAGATGTTTGGATTGGACATCATTGTAGCAGACGTTGACAGAGCAATAATTGGAGCTGATTGATGATGATCAGTTGTCCATATCATCGGCTTTTAAGCATATTTCCCAATTTGACTAAAAATACCTTTGGTAAGCTGATGAAACAGACAAATGTGGCCCCTCTAAATCATAAGTAGAGGACAGCCAACTCATTGTAGGGTGCGTTGACTTTATCCTGAAAAACTGAATGCTACAAATAAATAATTCAAATAACTAATGGAACATGGCATTGTAAGACCATCTGAAAGTCCCTGGGCTAGTCCTTTGCATATGGTCCGCAAAGCGAGTGGTGATTGGAGACAATGTGTGGATTATAAGTAATTGATTCAAAAACAATTCCAGATAGGTATCCTTTACCAAACATTAAAGACTTCTCCTTCCATTTGCTGAGTAAAGAAGTATTCTCAAAAATCGACTTGGTTAAAGCTTACCATCAGATTCCAATGGCACCAGAAGATACACCTTTTGGATTGTTTGAATACCTTAATATGCCCTTTGGCCTCAAAAATGCAGCTCAGACATGTCAAAGATACGTTCACCAAATTACCAAAGATCTTGATTTCTGTTTCCCGTATTTGGATGATTTTTTCATCGCCTCGGAAAATGAAGAAGAACACAAAAACATTTGAAACTATTGTTTGAAAGACTGGAAAATCATCGACTTTTGATCATTGTAGAGAAAAGTGTTTTTGGAAAACAAACCATTGATTCTTTGGGATGCACACTTACAAGAGATGGCATCAAGCAAACTGTAATAAAAACTGATAGGATTCTGGAGTATAAAAAACCAGAATATTTGAATGGATTAAGGCGGTTCCTGGGTATGGTGAATTTCTACAGAACATCAATTCCAAATTGTGCTGAAATTCGAGCCCCACTCAATGTTTTTCTGAAAGGAGCTTCAAAGAAAAATGAAAAACTCAATTGGACTTCACTTCAAGAAGAAGCACACCCTTCAACATTAAGTCCATCAGCCTTAATGGTTCATGCATCAAATGAATCATTTGGTCAACTTGTAAACCTCTCGGATTTTTTCCAAGAAAGTAAAAAATTCGCAGAAGAAATACAGTACCTACGACCGCGAATTATTAGCAATTTACGAGGCAATAAAATATTCTCGTTATATCTTGGAAGGACAAGAATTCATAATCTATACCGATCATACACCAATCACATTTGCTTTTGAGAATTCCGAAACATCTTCACCAAGACAAACTAGGTACATGGACTATATAAGTCAGTTCTCCACAGATATACGTCATATTTATGGAACCAAAAACTTAGTCGCTAATGCCCTATCTAGAATTTCTACTATACATATGGAAAGTATAACAGATTTCACAACATGGAAAGAGGAACAAAGCAATGATACTCAACTACAAGATTTGCTGCATACAAAGGCTTCACTTGTCCTTGAAAATTCCTGAAAAGTCAACATCACCTGCGATATTTCAAATTAGACCATATGTTCCCCAATCTTTCAGGAGAGAATTATTCAAGATTCACAATATGTCACATCCAGGTGTAAAGACAACATTGAAAATGATTGAAGATGAATTTGCCTGCATTATAACCATTCATTATTTTTCATTCAATCAATAGTTCCAGTTTGTTTTGCAAAAATTGCATATTTTATTATGTTCGAGCTTTCTAATGGAAATAAAAAATTAGTTTTTTTGTTATGTTTTCCTATTTTGTTTAGGTAAATTGAATTTGCATTTTTTCAAGTGAATTAATTCAAAAAGTCGGACTTTCTTCCCTTTTTCATAAAATCATGACATATTCCAACCCTGCTTTAATATCAACTAGGATATTTTCTTCCAGAGCACCTGCTATCAATTATTACCTACTCGCCGATTAGTAGTTCTTCTGATCACACATTCAGACATTTTTTTTCAGGTTCAGACGTTGTGGAAATTATTGAAAATGATCCGACACCAGAACCACCACCACAACCATCACAAACCAGATCAGAAGTGAGACATGAGGCAAGGTCAGAGGCAAGGTCAGAGGCAAGGTCAGAGGCAAGGTCAGAGGCAAGGTCAGAAGCAAGGTCAGAGGCTAGACATGATGAGCGACACGAGGCGAGATCGGCAGCGAGATCGGAGACGAGATCGAATGGCAAAACGGCCGAAACGTCGTCAGGGGGGCAAAGCGTCGATAGTCTCTCTATTGAAGAAACGAATAAGCTGCGGGCCAAATTAGGCTTGAAGCCGCTGGATGTAGGCCCAGCCCCTGGTAGTTCAAGGAAAAGAAACGATAAGAGAGAGGATGAATTGAAAAAAGACGATTTGGGCGAATTTTATCATAAGCCTGCTGTGAATTTGGCGAGGAAAGCGCAGCAAGAGAAAATAACTGCCAAATTGACGGAAATCCGGGAAAAAAGAATCTTGAACAATAAATATTCTAAAGTTAAAGGACTAGGGGAATGCGATAGCGATGATGATATTGAGTTGTGGGTGAATAAAAATCGAGAAATTGAAAAAGCCAAACAGGAAGCTGAGAAAAGGGTAAGCATTTTTTGTTTTCAACAATAACTGTAGTTATTTACATACCCAATAGTATTGAAGAGTTAGTTCTTTAGGTATTATTTGAAAGGTACAGCTTCATTGTTAAGTTTTCCATGGTGGCTTCAGTCATTAAGGTGGATATTTCAACTACATTTTTTTGGAATCTAGATATCATTCTCAGTATACTGTCCTTATTATGGTATATCAATCAAATGAATAAACTTCTATTCCATGTAAGTATATTCATTATGTTATAACTATGCTGAATGAAATAATAAATAGATATATGAGAAACCTAGAATCTCAAGACTAAGAGATTTCAGGAAAATTTCAGTAATTGATTGTCAGCTGATGCAGGACAAACTATTTCGGATTGTCAAATCTCATGAGCTGACAATAGATTCACGAAGGGAAATTCTATGTATGATTTGATTTTGATTTGAAAGATTTATTTAGCTTTCGCTAGTTTCACATCATATTTTTAAAATAATATATAATCATATTTACAAAGTATAAATTTTTGAAATAGCTATTCACTATATAAACTATAATAAATCTTAAAGTAAACTTTTCGTAACATAAGCTTGAACATTTTGATATTTGGTGCTACTTTGACAATAAGTGGAAGGCTGTTGAAATGATGCAATCCCTGGACGAAGAGAGATTTTTGTAAATCATTCGAGTTACATCTTGCTATATGGAAATCTTCTCTCGACCTGACGTTATATCTATGCATTTCCGATCTTTTCACAAGGAAAGATTGCAGATACATAGGAGCTTGTTTGTTCACAATTCTGTATAGCAGTAATAAATTCGATTCTTCGATTATTTGTTCAACATTCAGAAATTTCAACATCCTAAGCATATCTGTAATCTTTGTGTGTCTATCACATTTAAGTAATATTCTCATACACTTATATTCCAGCTTCTGAATTCTCTGTGCATCACTTTTTGTGGTGCATGAGACAAGTAACGACATACAATATTGAAGATGTGGATAAATAATGGTATTATATACTACTTTTCTATCCCAAAATGTTAGTTTTCTAGATATTCTTCTATAATATCCAATTTTCAAATATAAATCTACTTGTACCCCTAAGTACTTAATCTCCTGCACAAAGTCAATCACTTCCTGTTCTATGTGAATAACGTGGTTTTCGTTCGAGAATGACTTAGATACAGTTATTTTTTGAGCCCAGAACCATACATTTCATTCTTTGAGCTCTATAATCATTTGTATAACTACTTCCTCATGATTTTTTTCCACATATCGAAATTAGGGTATCGTCGGCGAACATATTGACAAAAGAATTTTGTAAAGCATTGCCTAAGTCGTTGATATACAAAATGAACATTAGCGGACCCAATACACTGCCTTGAGGCACCCCATATACAGTCCCAACTTTTTCTGAACAGTGAACTTGATATTTGGTTTTTTGAAATCGGCCTTCAAGATAATTTCTTAACCATTTCAACATTTATTCAGCAACATTTTTCGATCAATAGTTTCAAACTCTCGTTTCAAGTCCACAAAAACACTAATCACAACGTTTCCTTCATCGATCTCCTTCCTCCATTTTGAACAAACATATTGACATGCTGTTTCGCAAGAGTGGTTTTCTCGGAATCCTGATTGCCCAACGTATAGAATTTCATTTTGCCTCAAGTAACAGCTCAGCTCCTCATATACAACTATTTCTATCACCTTCTCTACAACCGGCAATAGATTTATAGGCCGGAGATCTTCAGGTTTCTAACTAATCTAACTTTTCGTATAGGTACGATCAAACTGCATTTCAGTTCTGTTGGCATTTTGCCAGTTTGAAGAGAAGTGTTCACCAGAAATAGAAGTGGATACCCAATCACACAGAACAGATCTTTTATTAGTTTGATTGTCATTATATCATCTCCAGAAGATTTATTTTTCACTCCAGAAATTAATTTCTTCAGCTTATTTAGAGATATCGTCAGAAGAACCTCGATAGTTGAATTTCTGATTCAAAATCTATATGACTCAAAGCAATCGGCTTTCTTTCCCCATCTGAGCTTAAGATATTGATATTTTGCATTCACGTCCAGAATTCATAAAAAGGTTGCTTCATAACTATTGAACCGTGACGTCATCGTACATGCCCGCTGCAGCATCTGACGTCAGCTTATCATTGAATGGGTAGGCGCGGTGTGATGTCAAAACATATTGAAAAGTTACGAAGTCTTTTCGAATTTATCGCTTTTAGTTTATGCTGAAGACTTCTCACTCGTTGTTTCTTCATCGAAATGTGATATCATTGTACCATTGTAATTATGAGTTGTGGGCACTGAATAATAAACATGGAATGACTGCTTCATTGCTCGCTTACCCGAACACCGGTCTAAGTATGAGAGTGACAAATCGGGGATTGCCCTATTTCTTCTTCTCATTAATTTTAATGGAAATTATTTGTAACGTAGTTCTGAGATCTAATATAACTTGACTTACACTTTCAAAGTGTACGAAGGGAGACATAAAGAATAGAGATTGCAAAAGAATTGACAATGCCAATTTATTAGTAAAAAAAAACGATTTTGAGTGGTGGAAGTAAAATAAGTTTGTTGGCAATCGATTTGGTTTCCATCAAATATTTAGGTAGTGAAACAATGAACAGACCTTTACATAAGAAAGGGAATAGTAAATGTTTTTTTTTCACTTTGAATTTATATATCGGAGACTGGAACCTTTGGCACGATAAAACACTACACTGTTTTACCACTAACCAAAATGATTTTTTATACGCCTCGACACGTGTTTCGCTAACTATGTTAGCATATTCAGGAGAAGATAATTTTTGAAATTTGAAATTTAAATAAAGAAAAAAATATCCGAAGGTCTGAAGTGAAACTTCCACAAACAGTGACAACCTTGAAGAGCAGCTGTTTTTTAAGTGGATCTCTAATATACAATGTTTGTGTTATATTATTTATTCAAACATTATTTATAGATATCAGATACATCTATACTGTTTCTTTTCTGTGTGAAATTTCGATGAAATGGCATTCTTTTTCTTCTAGGCTCCACTAGTAAATACTCTTAGAGACTCAAAAATGCTTGGCACTGCATCATCTATCAGTTTTTGAATTATGTAAGTCAGTGTTGACTTTGAATTTCGATATGGTCACTGCATACTACATAATATCTGTCATAAAGTATGTTTTTAGTTTATACTATTCGCGAAAATCACGAACCAATAGATGGCTCTATTATATGTCAAATCAACGTCAAATTTCCAACTGAGTATGAACAACAAAAACATGGCCGTATGCACTCATTGCAAATTGGTTATTTCCAAATCATTTTGCAAAATAGTGAATAATAAGTTGACTTCTTGAAATACGTACAAGGTTTCCAGTATGGAAAAAATTACTTTTTGTGCAGAGAAATTGCCATTTTGATGTGGACAATGGTGGTATTCATCATTGATATCACACTACAATCCCACAGTTTTCAAACATATGGAATGATCGGAATGGTCCACTCAACACTTGCATGGACTGGAATGGAACCATACAAACAATCAGCTATTACAACAATATGGTATAGGTATGAAGAAATAATTGAATTCATCAAGAAATATCACTGGCTTTTATGAAGGAGATGGAATTCTAGTGAAGGGGTTGGGAAAGAAGATATGGTTGGAGAGGCTGCTCAGAATGAACAATATCATCGATTTACATAAACAAGGATCTCCAGCAATCGAGGACTTGAAGATATTCTCAAGATCGAATCATTGCAACCAACATTTATACAATGATTCTAATTGTGCTTATTCAGAAAATGTATATTATATTATTATAAGGTAGGTACTGGTTTCTTCATTGTAAACAATAAAAGTTCATGCAACAATTCGAGTTTTTTCATCAGGGAGAAATGAGGTTCTGGAATATGCACTTCAACAAATAAATAATTTTCAAATAAAACACATATTTATGAAATTCAAAACAATGGTCGCCATATTTGTTGTTCATACTCGCAAGACTTGTACAGTTAGCCACCAGAGGCCGCACACTTCGTGATTTTCGCGAATATTATTTACATACATGAACATACATAGACATGACATTGACATCGACATTACTGTTGACAGTCTCCCAGTGCTGCCACATTCATGTGAGCACAAATATGTAGGTATAAAGATATGTCACATGCCCACCCTAAACACAAAAGGTTCAATTCAAAATGTAGTATTGATATCGTTGTGGAGTTTATATTTCTCTGGTACTTCGTCTTCGCTCAATTTCTGGCTCAGTGTCCCTTTCTTCATTCACAAGGACATCTCCTTGCACTTTTCCATCTTTCATCAAATGCAGCAACTCATTCCTTTCTTCCAGCACCTTGGAATTTGCCATAGGTACACGTTCCGATTGAGTTCGAAGATTTCTTAGATGGATCTTGTTTCTTCTGTACATAGCTCCATCCTTAGTACTCATGATGTATGAGTTTGGAATATTGTCTTCTTCTACAACCTTTGCTGGAATCCAATTTCTTATGCCTTTTTGCACAAGTACATCTTCCCTCACTCGGCTTCTTTCTTTTACCATGTGATTGATTGTAACGGGTGCTCTGTCTTCTTTGGTTTCTTAACTAATTGTACACTGATCTATTTAGATCCAAAGCATTTTCGAACGTTGGTAGGTTTGTTCTCCATTTTCTGCCCATGAGTATTTCTGACGGAGCTGGCAAGTTATACTTTGGGGTGCTATTATAATTCATCGTCAATGTCTGGACACTTTCCTGAGGTGACTTCAGCATCATATTTTCGATTGTTTGAATATAGCGTTCAATGAGATCATTTGATTACATAATAAGGACTGCTTGTTTTGTGTGAGATTTTCTCCTTCATAAAATAGTTTCATAATTCCTCGGAGTTGAATGGCGGTATATTATCAGTCCGAATTTCTGTTGGTAAACGGAAATTACACTCATAGCATTGGTTGTTTTCAATGGTTCAATAATTATGAACTTTGAAAAGTAATCTGCTATCATTGAATAGTATCGTCTATCGACTTTTAAAAAATCCATTCCTATTTGCTCCCAAGGATAGGTTGCAACTGGTGTTATCAGTAATGATTCTTTTACATTACTTCTTTGTTGTTCTTGACAAGTAATGCAACTGGCTACATAATTCCTAATATCTTCAGTCATACTGGGCCAATATAAAACCTCCTGAGCTCTTCTGATGCATGAATTTATACCCATATTGTCACGATATATGGTGTTTTCCCCACTTCACAACATAGAGGTAAGAATTTCACTATGTCACAATATCGAGTTTGTATTTACACCCGTACCGATTTATAAGGGGTTTGCTTGGCTTTTGGGTTTGCGAGAGGTAATATTCAAATAGGCACTAATAGTTTAGGGGTAGCTGAAAGTACGAGAATATATTCAAACATCACAATATTTATTGAATCATGATCATTATGAGTAACGATGACAAATATGAATAAACAACGATGAATATAAAGCCCTAATAACAACTTACATTCTAATGTCCATTATGACGAGTTCTTGTCAAGTCAAGACTAGCCCCAGACCAGACTCGGAACCCTGACATCCAATATTTATATACATATTTTCATTAGACTTGCACGTTTCTCATGAGAGTTTCTTGATCAGTATTCATGGTTCAATGTCAACGGATGATTGATTAACTTAAAACCCTCATGGTTCGAAATTACTAATATACCGTATGTTCTACTCGTGACATGACTCCCCGAGAAAACGACCCCAGTTTTAAAATTACTACCTATACCTAAAATAGATAAATGACAAAAACAAATAAATCTTGGAAATTGAGTTTATTTACTCTCAAGTTTTATTTAGTCCGGCACTGGCTATTCAACTGATGCATTGTAATCATACTCTTCTCGGCGGGACTTCTGGCAGCTCGGAGGTAGGGAATGACGATTGGGCAGTGGTATCCTCCAATCGCCATGGAAATTTCGACAGGGTCCTTTTGGGCTTGAAGGTATCCTCCTCCTGGGCATAAGGGTGACATCTTTTGGGCTTAAAGATTCCTTCAAAGTAGTTAGCAGCTCAATGAAGCTAGCTGACTGTGTCCATGGTAGGCAGGCATCTCGTGGAACGAATTTCGTGGGCTTCCATCGTCGAACTTCTAGTAGCTATCCACAACTTGTAATATTCCCACTTTCATCCTCTTCGTTTTTGGGCTACCCAGCAGATACCATCGAATCATGCTGTACAGTCAGAGCTTGGTTTGTCTATTCAGCTGCGGGGCTGCATTCCCCTGGGGGTCTGATATGTTGATGCGTGTTGTCTGCCAGTGCTCAGTGTGCATTGTTTAATATGCGGTTTCGTCAATACATGTAAAAAAAATATATCCAGTAGCTAACTCTATTTATAATGGAATATGTAGTTCTAACATAAGCCTATACTCATATGAATAGGTTTAAGTATATACACAATAACTAATAAATATGCCGGGTCTTCAACAATGATTGAGTGCCACGTGACCATTTTCGATTCCACCCACGTTAAAGAGATACGAATCTATTCTTGGTGCATAGTAATCTGTCACGTGGCTTTCAATCATTGTTGAAGACCCGTTAGTCAAATGCATAGAAGAGAAATAAATCTTCATTATTATAGGCAGGATCCTTTATTTTCAAAAAGTTCATATCTGCTTGTGAAATATTGTTTGCTTCTCTTGATACACTACTTAGTTTCTGGGGCCAACCATTACGAATATAATACAGTTTCTACTTGTGACAATTCTGGATCATTTGAAGTCTCTTCTTTTATTTCCTCTATCCTTTTCTTGGATGCCACTACACTTGTTTGCATCTTGAGATCTTCTATGTTCTAGTAATGATAATGTTCACACGCTACGACTATTGCCAGTAACTCCTTCTCTATTACAGAGTATCGAGATTAAGCTTGGTTCAATGATGATGATGAAAAAGCTACAGGATGATCATTTTGTAATAGAACTGCACCAACAGAATCCTTACTAGCATCTGTTGCCAATATAATGTCCTTGTCATCAAATATTGATGAAACTGGTGCATTGCAAATCAACATTTTCATTTGATTAAAACATTGAGTATGATCCTCTATTCAAATCCATAGAGAATTATGTTTCTCAATTTCTGGGGATATTTGGTATAAATTTTGACAGGTAACTAACCATACCCAAGAAACTCTGCAGTTCCGCTTTGTTCTTCGGTTCTTCTATATCTGTTGTTGCTTTAATTTTTTCTTCACATATTCACCTTGTTCAGAAATCCAATAACCCAAATAATTTATTTTTCTAACAGCTTATTGGTTTTTATTTTCCTTGGACTTTATTTTATTGTTATTTGCTTGTTTTAAGAATGCTTGGCGCATTGCATATCAACATTTTCAATTGATTAAAACATTGAGTATGATCCTTTATCCAAATCCATAGAGAATTATGTTACAACAGATTTCTCAAGGTAGAAGTTTCTTGCGACATTTGGTATAAAGTTTGACAGGTAACAAACCATACCCAAGAAAGTCTGCAGTTTTGCTTTGTTCTTCGGTTCTTCAATATCCCTGAAGGTAATCGAAATCGCCTAATAGCCCTAAATATTGACTGTTTTAAGTGTGCTATACCAAATTTCAATTCAGTATTTTGAAAATTGTAGAAGAAAACTAAAAAAACATTGAAAAAATTTCAAACTTTCACTCCCTGTTTCCACGCATATACAGGCTGATTCACGGTGGATGGCACATTAGACGTTTCTGGTGAACCAGACAACGGATCATTTTGAAAATTTAATGGAGGGCATATTCGGACATTCTCTAGCCAACTAAAATATTTTCGACAATGCGGTGTTGCGGCTTCTATTAGAAAGCAGTAGCAACTTTGATTTTTCAAATGGAACACTCTGTATTTTATTGCATTTTTAGATTCTCCCTGAAGAGCAGATTTCATCGATGTATCATACTTGGGGTCTAGCGGAAATGATTACAGAGATATAGGGTGTTAAAAATCGACATTTTTCAACTTTAGGAATTTTTTTTGTCGAAACTATTCATTATTGGTCAAAACGGCTCACATGTCCCTATCTCAACTTTTGATCAATTATCTACTAACATTTAATTGAAACAAATACAGGGTGGTGCAGAATTCAGAATCTTGATCACCCGATATATGTCCCAATTAAATATCAGTAGATAGTTAATCAAAAGTTGAGATAGGGACATGTAAGCCGTTTTGACCAATGATGAATAGTTTCGACACAAAAAAATCCTAAAGTTGAAAAATGTCGATTTTTCACACCCTATATCTCTGTAATCATTTCCGCTAGACCCCAAGTGTGATATATCGATGGAATCAGCTCTTCAGGGAGAATCTAAAAATGCAATAAAATACAGAGTGTTCCATTTGAAAAATAAAAGTTGCTACTGCTTTCTAATAGAAGCGGCAACACCGCATTGTCGAAAATATTTTAGTTGGCTAGAGAATGTCCGAATATGCCCTCCATTGAATTTTCAAAATGATCCGTTGTCTGGTTCACCAGAAACGTCTAATGTGCCATCCACCGTGAATCAGCCTGTATGTTCACATGAACTCTCCATCTTGAAAATAAATATATTGTGTTCTTCAAGCTGTCCTGTTACGAAAAAAACTGACTGACCCTGTAAATCATGGGAGCAAACGTTCATTTCCTCTCATACGCGGAAGGAAAAAACCTTTGCTCCCTTGGTATATAAATAGCTATTATTTTGTGGTAAGATAATATAGTAATTGATAATTCACTCATGTTGAAGAAATAATCCTTTTGTTCATGTCTTATTTTTCCGTTCTGGAATCTGTGTTGAAGAACTAACTCTTTATTTTAAGATCATTGTTATATCGAATCATATTTGTGTTTTAATCTATCGAAGAATTACAGGCAAAAATGCTGGAAGAACTTGATGCACAATTTGGAATAGGTGACATCGTCGAGTCTGAGAAAAGAGAAAAAATGGTACGGAAATATTCCGAAAAAGACTTGAAAGGAATCACCGTTCAACATGACGTCGATAGTTTTGCAGATGAGAGAACTGTGATCCTCACATTGAAAGATAAGGGTGTTCTGGAGGAGGATGAAGATGTTCTAGTGAATGTTAATATGCTCGAAGATGAACGTTACAAAAAGGTTAGTAAACCAACTAGTTATTGATGCCTGTCCAAGTTAATATATGATTTCTATTTTTATATATTTTTGCTACTTTCTAGCAATATAAGTGTAGTATTGACCATTTAGTGCACTTCAATGTGTTACCAGTTGTGATACCCCAGTTCAATAGTGTAAAATCTCAAAAATCCTAGTTTCGAGAAACGCAATTGAAAATTCAAGTCATAATAATTTGAAACTAAATTTGTAGATTATGTCTTAAGAATATAGAATAATAGCCCTGCCATAGGAGTTTTCTATTCCTATCTTATTTCCCTTGGTTCTCACGATGTTCTCTGAACATTACAGGATATCCCTTTTCGTGGGAACCAGAACATAAAAAAAAACTTCCTAAAATCAACAAATTAAAAAAAAACTACAAAAAATTATTTTGTTTGGACTTGTTGAACTATTGATCTAAATTATATAATATACAGGGTGTTTGGTGCATCGTGTGCCAAATTGAAATGGTCGAATGAAGGGGTCATCTGCTATACTTTAAGACTAGTTAACACCTTTCATGCCCTGTGGATTATTTTTAATCGTCAAATTCCACATTCAGATTCAAATTTTGAAGAAAGTATAAGGCGTAGACTCTGGATTTTAATTTTATTCAGATGTGTATTGTGTTAGAGTACTTTTAAATATGAAACTAGTAACATAAGTCATCTAGTTTTTTTTGAATTCACTCGTAAAGTTTCGAAATATGTGAAACTCAAATTGAAGCCGTGACTACATGGCTCCAAAAAAACAAAACAAAAGCGACCATGATCTTCCAACTCCCTCAAAAGTTCTCTAGTCCATCCTCTTGCCAATAATGTGTCACATGCCATTAATATCTTTTAACAACTTTGTGAATTCGCTAGAAATGTCAATCAAGTCTCATAAAGTTGTTATTAAAAATGATTTGAAAAATTATTTTTGCGTAACTGTTACTCCAGAAATTTATATTTCTTGCACAACGTAAATCTGTTTGAACAAATCACGATCATGATTCTGAATATTTGCCTTATGTGACTCGATTCACAATTCTAGCGAATTTACAAAGTTGTTAAGAGATATTTATGGCATGTGACACATCATTATCAAGAGGATAGAGTAGAGAACTTTCGAGGGAGTTGAAAGATTCTGGTCGCTGTTGGTTTTTTTTTTGTAGCCAAGTCACAGCTTTAATTTGAGTTTCACATATTTCGAAACTTTGCGAGTAAATAAAAGAAAAACTAGATGACTTATGTCACTAGTTTTGTATTTAAAAGTACTATAACACAATACATATCTGAATAGAAATAAAATCCAGAGTCTACGCCTTATACTTCTTTCAAAATTTGAATTTGAATGTGGAATTTGGGTATTTTTTTGATGAACAGAAAGGAAGACGATTGAAAATAATCCACAGGGCATGAAAGGTGTGACCTAGTCTTAAAGGATAGCAGATGACCCCTTCATTCGACCATTTCAATTTGGCACACGATGCACCAAACACCCTGTATAATTTGAAGCTCTGTGATCAGAAATCATCATTATTATTAGAGGAGTAAGTATAATAACCACTATCACTACAGAAATAATGATATAAGATAGATTCTTCATTGTTCTTCAAACTTAACAGTTTTCTAATCAAGTGTGCAGCAACCTGAGGCCTAGCAAGAATAGAAAAATACATGATGATATATCAGAATGATTGGCATTATAAATGATGGAGATTTCAAGCGATAATAATATTTGGCAGTCATTTACAATAATTTACTCGTTTAAGATGAAATATCTCGATGTCATGATGTTGTACATATGGTTATAGATAGTTTTTCCTATTGTTGACGTTATATTATTGAGAGCGTTAACAAAGGTCTCCAAGTTTCTTAATAGGCCTATTTGTTTGTGCTCTTGCTCTACCTGCTGAACTTGATTTTTTTCTATGACTCTGTTTACATCATGCCATGAACAGAGACAACTATCAACTTTAGCAAGTTCAGCAATACAAAACGAACAGGCCTAATGTAATATATGAAAATTTTATGGAAATCAAAATAAAAGAGAGAAGTAGGACTAAAGTTCAATTCAAGTACACCTACTTACATATTATAGATATATATTATAGAATTCAATAAACACATTCATGTTGAATTCGAAATCATAAACAAAATTCACCTCTGAGACAACAAACGCAATCAAAATGCTCTCCATTATACATATATTCTAGAATTAAATGAACACAATCATATTCGATTCAGCAGAATCTACGAGGGCGAAATATTCACGGAAATATTGACGTTCTGTCACTAACTTAGACCAGTTTGAAGTTTGGATATTCGCAAAAGGAACATTTTTTCCCTTTCTTTCGCTTTTTGTTTCAACTCGTTATAATATGGCGGAAGTATATCCGGAATAATAGGAACAAATAAATCGCTGTGCCGTGGATTTGGCTCAGACTGAGGGGTGGCACAGGTAGAATTTTGAGATCTACCATTCAACTTGTATCGGATTGCATAATTCTCATCTCGTTATCAAATCGCGAAATCGAGTGCAAATTTCCGCATTTTGCTCAGGACAGTGATTGGCACAGGTGCCGTTCGATGAACTAAAATGTTTTTACATTCCTTTGGGACATATATCATTTAGTTATCAGATGACGGTAGAATCAGAATCTGTTAAGAAATCTAGACTAACTTCAGTAATTTTTGAGTTATTCAAGTGAAACTAAAATTTTGAATTTTTGTTCTCGAATATGTCGAAAATTATTGATTGTATGATGAAACGACAACAACATTCTAAAATTTATAATAAAATACCATCAAAATTAAAACGCCTTAATATCAAAACTTTCAAAAAAGAAGTTGAAAGTTGGCTTATAGAAAAATCGAAAAAATCGATGATCTTTTTAATTAACCCTATTTTTCTTTATTTCACTTTATTCTCATTATTGTATGAATTGATTATTTGTTTTCAGTTTGAGTATTTATATTATGGAAAAACAATTTTATACGTGAATTCATCTCTTTCACACACTGATCACTACCCTATGTGAAGGAGATACGATATGAGATTTATATGAGGATATTGTTAGCCTTAAAATTTTCGAGCTTTACATTTTACTTGATTATTTGTGATTTCCTCTCCTCTTCTCTATAAAATAAAAATATGAGTATTATTTCAATGTCTGTGTACCTAATATTGCAAATCAGATGATTTGCCCCAAAATGTCACTGCGTTCAACAAATTTTTCTATCAGGGAGCCTAAAGGAAAAATCCAATAGCTTTTCAGTGACACTTTGTTTGGAGAAATGTTCGAAGAGAAGAAATATAGATATATTGAAAAATTATCGAATTTTCACTTATCTTTGGACGTTTCAGTAACGAATCTGCTCCCGTTCTCAACATAAAAATGCAAAATATTTCTTTTCGAAAATTCTGTTCTTATAGTTTGACACTTCTCAGTGACATACTGATGTTGACATATGGATGAGTGATGATGTTAGTTACAGGATGTTTTTATTAATTGATCTTGAATCTACCATTTTTCATGTTCAGTTTTCAGTAGTGAATACCATATTCTATCTATATCAACAGGAACCAATGCTATTGTCTCCGTTCAGAAGAATGCCAGCGAATTCCTTGATTTTTCTGTTTTGGTTGTTATCTTCCTTTCCTATGATTTTAATATTATTCCACTCTGCCATATGTTGTTCATTTTCAGTAAGGATATGTTCAGTTAGCTTTGATTTATCTATTTGTTTTTTCTTGATATTGTACTTGTATTCTTTCATCCTTACTGAGAGAGGCCTCTTCGTTTCACCTGTATAATACTCTCCACAAACACAACGTATACTATAAATACAATTTATTAGATATGCCAGGAATGTACGGTATTTTATTCGTCGTTATCGATGGTTGTTTTTGTTGTCGTGTATTCTGTTTTCTAACTCAAACAAAACCGAAAAATCAAGAACAACCATCAAAATATTGTATTCATAGTGTACCTTGTGTTTGTGGAAAGTATTATACAGGTGAAACGAAGAGACCTCTCTCAGTAAGGATGGAAGAACGCAAGTACAATATCAAGAAAAGACATATCAATAAATCAAAGCTACCTGAAAATATCCTTGCTGAAAATGGATAACATATGGCAGAGGGGAATTATATCGTAGGAAAGGAAGATAACCAAAAGAGAAAAATCAAGGAAGCCGCTTGCATTCTTCTGAACGGAGACAATAGCATCACTTCCTGTTCAGTTTATATTGATAGAATATGGTATTCACTACTGAAAACTGAATATGAAAATGGTAGATTCAAGATCAATTAATGAAAACATCATGTAACTCATTTGTGTACTAACATCATTACTCATCCATATTCCAACATCAGTATGTCACTTAGAAGTGTCAGAGTATAAGTATAATCAAAATATTTTGCTTTTTTATGTTGAGAACAGGAGCAGATTCGTTCTCGAAACATCCAAAAATGAGTAAAAATTCGATATTTTTTCTACATATCTATATTTCTTCTCTTGAAACATGTTTCCAAACAAATTGTCACTGACAAGTTATTGGATTTTTCTTTTAGACTCCCTGATAAAAAAAAATTGTTGAACGCAGTGATATTTTGGGGCAAATTATCTGATTTGAAATTTTAGGTACACATACATTAAAATAATACTCATATTTTTTTTATAGAAGCGAGAAGAGAAAATCTCAGATAATCAAGTAAAATGAATGTACCACCTCCTCGATTAATCTACAGACATTACTTATTGTGTTTGTGGGTGACGCCACACTCACTCACTCTTTGACATCATTGGAACACCGTAGAAAGGTCGGCGACCTTTCACTTTTCTATCGATACTTCCACGGGAAATGTTCTTCGGAAATCTCTGCTATCATCCCTTCACTAGCAATACCAATCAGACGCACTAGACAAGCCCAGTCAGCACATCCTTTCGTTGTCAACCTCGAAAGATGTCGAACAGCACTTTATCAAGACTCCTTCATCCATAGAACGGCTAGGCTCTGGAATTCATTGCCTGTGGAAGTATTCCCAACAACATATAATCTCCAAAAGTTCAAAAAAAAAATCCAATACCTACCTCTTGTCCCTATCCTCCCTAGGAACGCACGCTGTTCTTTGAACATTATAAGGATTCCCTTTCGTGCGCTCCATGCGTTAAAAAAAATATTGATTCAACTCAATATTTTTGATATAGTGCTTTCATGTTCTTTGAAAAATACTAATTTCTGAAGATTTATCACTATGAAGGTGTATACAAACATAGTTTCATTCTTAAAAATTGAATTTTCAAATAAAATTCCAGGTAGTTTTTTCCACTATGTATTTTCTTGTTACTGTCAACTTCTCTCAATGTTTGATATACCTATGCCAATTATTATTGAGAACCTACAAACATGTTTCATTCAAAAAGCTTGTTATTGAGCGAATTACCTACCGATAATAGTCTCAAACGGCACTCAGAATAACACTACTATGGAATAAATTATTCGCCAGCAAGATGCACTTCAAGTGAGAAACATGATGTTGATGATTGTACATTGTATTTTTTCTTAGCAAAATAATTGAAAAATTGCACTTTCCTGTGTTCAAACCTTTCTGTGACACCCCTTAATCTGATTCAAGGCCACGACAAAGCGATTTGTTTGTTGCCGTTATTCCGGACATATTTCCGTCATGTGATAACAAGTTGAAACAAGAAGCAAATTAAAAGGGATAATGTTCCCTTTGCGAATATTTCCGAGAATATTTTGCCCCTCTCGAAAGATAATATCCGATGGTCCAGTATAAAACTCATGTTTTGCTCGCACTACAAGTATTTGAACCCACATGTTGAGTTTCACACTGGTCCATCGGATATTATCTTAAGAGAGGGGTGAAATATTCCGGGAAATATTGACGCACTGCCGCTAACTTAGATCACTTTGGATGTTCGCAAAGGGGACTTTATCCCCTTTTATTTGCTTTTTGTTTCAACTCGTTATCACATGTCGGAAGTATGATGGAATAATGGCAGCAAATAAATCGCTGTGCCGATGATTTGACTCAGATTAAGGGGTGACACAGGTAGGGTTTTGAGATCTACCATTGAATTGATACCGGATGGCATAATTCTCATCACGTTATCAAATCGCAAAATTAAGTGCGAATTACCTCATAGGAAAGTGCCATTTATCAATCATTTGATCAGAATAGTGATTGATACAGGAGCCGTTCGATGTTTTTACACATATATATCAGATGACCGTCGAAATTTATATTTTTATTTTATAAAACTTCTATAAAACGAAATCATTTGGTTTAATTTTTGGTGACATTTTTCAATCTCAATTCTAAATTCAAATTTCGACATATTGCCTTTTCATCCAACCTCTCTCTCTAATGCAGTGCGTACAAACCACTAAGGGCCAGTAATGCCAGTATACTTTCAATAGGTCAATGGGTACAGGGCTCGTTTTATTATTGTGATCCCCTCTTTATCTTTTTTGTTTTCCACCCATTCAAAAAAACTCAAAACTGATTTTTTACATTTTTTCTACAGTGACAGTGATGGTGGCAGTGTTGCAATATCCCTTCAAATATACAGAACATACATAAATATATATATTTTGTAAATGGAATGCGCTTCATATCATTTATTCGAAATCAGAATGAATTGTGGAATTTAAATCTATTAAAATATACGGCGCATTCCATTTAACAAATGAATATATTTCTGTATAGCCTGCATATATATAAGAAGAGATATTGCATCATTTTCAAATGAGTGGAACCTGTAGGAAACATTGTATAAAATTAGCTTTCAATTTTTTGAATGAGTGGAAAGCAAAAAAGATGAAGAGGGATTCAAATTAATAAAATTAGCCCCGTTTGTCTTTATCGATATTGAAGTTGATTGAAGTACTTACCAAGTTTGAATTCTTTGTGAATATTAAAAATCATGAACCGCGTTTCAATTTGACCTAACCTACTTGGAACAAACAAAACATACTTCTTTATCCTTGTTCGCCCTGTAATAACTGTGTTAGATCAGTGGAGTAAAATATACCCTCCTAATTTGTTGAGTTACAAGAGATAACTTGACGTCAAAAACTCCAGTATTTTCGAACGACAGTCACACAGAATAAACACAATCTAACAAATTTCGTATGCAAATAGATAAAATCTACTCCACAGAGTACGTAATCAAACGCACTCCAGTGTTATTACCAGAGGTATCAATCTGTTATGGCTTTATAAGAACTCATAAGTATTAAAGGTCAATCAAATATTGATACTTGAATTAACGGCAGAGAATTCTAGTTTTTTAAAGTTTCATCTCCAAAATATTACAGTTCTAAGAACTAATATTATTTTAGAATATTGAAAACAAGAAGAAGAAACCCGGATACAATGCCTATGAGGATGATGAATTTGACGAATTTGGAAACCCTAAAGAAAAGTCGCTCCTTTCGAAATATGATGAAGAAATTGGAGGTGAAAAAAGAGACAATTTCAAGATAGGGTATGATTCAGCGGTAGAAAGGAAACAAGCAGCGGTGGAAATGGTAAAAGCTAAATTGGCCAAAAAGACACTAGAAAGTATTGCAGAAACCAATCTGAAATTGGCGTCAGAATACTATAATGAAGAAGAACTTGCTAAATTCAAGAAACCCAAGAAGAAAGTAAGGAAAATCCGATCCAAAGGAAAGTTGCTTACAACTGATGAACTGAAGCCTGATAATAAGGGAATTGAAGGTTTAGGTTCTAGGAGACCTAAAATAAAGAATGACACCGATTATGATATTGATGATGTACCTGGTGAGTAGAATTCATCCATTTATTGACTAAATTAGGAGTAATGATTTTATTATGCAATGGACATGTTTCAATGAAGAACTTTATTTCATCATTTTGAAGTACTGACCCAAACTTGTTCATTGTCACAAACCGTTTTCTCCTCAGAGCTCCGTACATTTTTCAAATGAATATTGAAATGTTCAATCCTATATTGTATATTAATTATTCTGTATATCTCAGTACACCTCTACATTGAAAGTGAATTCTTGCTATATGGTAATTCTCTTATATTGGTTGTGAAATAATATGAGAAATATGTTGTCGGTGAATAAAGTCATCAAGAGCTAGCGACTTTAAATTCACTTATTGAAATAAGTATTTTTGATGATTTTGAATAATGAATAATTTTATATTTTTTGAACTTTACACTAATCAAAGATAATACATACTCTAGATAGACAACGTCTGTGTAAAAATTGGCAACACTCCGATGGGACCTAACAGATCGTCAGCTAATCGGCTGTGCAAATTCGTTGAACAAATATTGAGTCGATGAAATACGCGGCGTTATAATGAATATATGCGCACAACGGATTACCCATCGCTCTTTTACGTCCCAACTGAGCGTTGCCCATTCTTACATTCACGATGTCTATCTAGAGTTTGTATTATCTTTGCGCTAATGCTTCTCATTTCAACGGTCGTACTTTGCCACTCATAACTACTTACGTCACGACTTAGTGAGTAAACACATACTTAGCAGATGTAAGAGCAGTACATCTGGGCATATCGAAATTTTCTGTCTTGCAAATTCAAACCATGATTTATCGCTCTCCTCTAGCCAGGGGCATCAGTAGAAATAATGTGGGGGGGGATCACAATAATAATGTCACTCCCACGGGAGGAAAATATATTAACTCCCGTGAGAGGTAAAATGAATCGGCTTCAGCATGCATTCTTAGGGCGTCGATATACCTATACAATCTATGCAATCCAAGTAATCAGTGTCTTTATCACAATTATAAAACAAGTAACAATCATATCCGAGATAATATCGTTTTCGAATTCCAATGATATCTTATACTTCTCCATATTCTGCACGTGCTTCCAATCAACAATTTTGAATGCAGTTAACCAAAAAACAAATCAATCAATTCACGATGACAGAAGTGTCAAATTGACTTTCTTTCAAATTGTCAATTGTCCATGGCATATTATGTCTTTGTAATGCATAATGATTCAAATCGAGAGATAGACCGCCTGAAAATTTCAACAATGATGCTTTAAAAGAATGCGTTCGTTGATAAAATCATATAAATATCTTGGGAGAAAGGTTTCTTTTCCTCTCATGTGTGTTTAATGACCTTCGCTACGCATCATGCATCAAACTTTACAAGCGGGAGGAAATGGATACGTTTCCTTCCTTGATATATATATAGCTATAACATCGCACATAACGAGTTGTGGGGGAAAGAATTGCAATTGTTTCGAATATATTATGGATGGAAACACAGTCTTACACTCTCTTGAGTAACGAAAAATGTCTCCTGACTTCAGTTCATCCACTCGTCATCATTAATTTCTTCAAGTATCGTATAAAATATCTGTCTCAGCACTATCATTGTTTTTAAAACTATACAATGTGTAATTGACTGAACAGTTTGAGTGTAAGCTTTTTTTATCTATATAATTTTTCATTTAGGCAAAACGTCGAATAATTTGTGAGCCTCATCTGACTGACAAAACAAAATAGGGAGTGAATACTGCAATTCTAATTTATTGAGAATGGATCTGAGTGAGAACAAGGCGCTAGGGGGTGCATGCGCCCCCTGCCCCCCCCCTTGCGGACGCCCCTGTCTCTAGCTGGGAGAGATATATCGAAAGTATTTGGCACAATGGACTTCTCCACAAAACAAACTACAATGATACGACTCACCACCTCAGCTATGCCTCCTTTCCTTTATCGAGTTCTTTCAGACAGATTGCTCCATGTCGTGGTGAACGGAACAATAAACTTTAAAACACAACAGCAACACTATAACACTTATAATCACAATATACAAGGGGCCAGGTAGCCGTGCGGACAGAGTGTCTATATTCTAATCCGCATTCGCTTGCCGGTCGTGGGTTCGATTCCCATCGACTGCAGAAATGTTTCCGATGGCCCAAGAAAGTGTTTGGGATCACACGTTGAAAGGTAAGGCCCCCGTCATTCCTTGCTCGCACAAGACTCTCGTAGACTTCTGAGGGTTGCTCGTAAGGGGGCAACCGAATGACGGATAGAACAATTTTACAACAACAACAAAATAGTTGTGATTCGTCATCACTATACTCTGTGATATCATAGTATACCTTACATGCTAACTTCTTTTGTAGTTTTTCTGAAAATCTTGAGAGGCTCAATTGCTTTTATGTCTCAGGGGAGTTTATTATCAATGTTTACTCCATTGTAACAGGTGATTCAATAAGGGTGACGAGTTACTGTACCTCAGTAACCAATAGTTTGTAAAACACGTCCCCTAGTCATGGCGGTAATAACCAGAATGGCATGGATGGTTTTTTATTTCATCCACAAAACCTTCCTTTCTTGAAGCAGACCTTCTCAGCAAAGTTTTTAGTTCCGAGAAAGCACGTCACTCTTATTGAGTGGCCTGATATATGAATGAGTCTTTAATCAGTGAGGATGTGGGTATAATAAGGGCTGAATTGATGATGTGCGATTATGGTTAATATACGAAAATGTATTCTTGTGAATCAAACATGTTTCCAGCTAACTACCTCTTGTTGCTCATTATCTTAGTATTTTTCATCTTCCGAGAGTTGAGAAAAATGTTTATCTGACCTGTCCACACACTTCCCCCAGCCTACAGCTTTTCCCAATGAAATTTTTTAAATCGTTATATCGTTTATGACATGTTAGTTTAAATAGAGCGCAGTTTTCAAGGAACCCGACCACTTTTTCAGAGTGGATCAATGTGGTTCTCTCACTGTAGAGTAAACATGCATATTGCAAACATGATTAAAATATCTATTTATACAACTATTCAGATTGTGTATCGAATCGTTACCAATAGGAGTGTTAAGAAAGGATGATTTGGCAATGTCACCAGTTTCGGAGTATAGCAGTTGTTTCACTGTGGTGGCCAGTGTTGCCAGGTTCACCGGGTTTCAGCTGGATCTGATTTGATTGTATCAAGATTAAATTTAATCGTCATAATAATAATATAATATTCACGGAAATATTCTAATTTACTGATTTCGTGCGGCAACATCTCTATTGCAGTACCTACGAGTTCCATCGGCGACTGCGGATTATGTATTACGTTTTGAATGTTTGGCTTCGAGGTTTCGGTCCCTTAGCTAACCCATAGAAAACGTCGGTAATCTGTGAATATCCAAGTTTCGTGGGTACCACACAATTTTACTGATTGTTTGTCCGAGTTATCGTTTTTGAAGCTTCTTGATATTAAGTGAGTTTATACAAGAATGATGGTTATTTAATTTTTTTTTGACTTCTGTTAATTACCTACCTAATTACGTTACTAGTAAGCCACTAGTAGTTAGCAGAAACTGCAATTTTCAAATTATTTGTACCGCTTTTTTTAAGTCTAACACTATCTCATTCTTGGCATGGCAACAATGGCGAAGTCGTACGTTAGAATCAGTCTTTCTTGCTAGGTTGAACTTCATTTATATACAATGAAAAATAATTTTACTGTGGTATCTGGTGTGAAATGTGCAGTAACTTAACCGACCCTTATATGAAATTAGTGTAGTTATAAAAAAATATAACACACAACTTGTGATATAAATTACTCCACTTCGTTTTAACTTGAATTTTCCACCCCTTTTCACGTAATTATCCATATTAATCAAATCATTTTCATTTATTTTAGCAATGGATTATTCAGCTGACGTAAAATTTGAAGATGACAATGATGATTTAATGGAGAAGGCTTTACATAAAGCACGAAGAACTAAACAGAAAGAGAGTGTAATTTCTGGAATATTGAAAAATGAAATAAAAACTGAAATAGAGGATGAAAATGCTGATGGAGGAAACATTACTCTAAATGCTACAGCAGAGTTTTGTCGTACATTAGGTAAGCCATGAGTTTTATGCACCTACATTTAGGTTACATCAGGATTCTGAAATATTGATACATATCCAAATTGGATACTCTGATAGCAAGAACTTGAAATCCAGTTTTGATTTTTCGAAATTTCATCTCCATTTTTTTGAGGAAAATATTTTGGAAAAAACTTGATCGTAACTTGACGACACACTCAAATACAAAGGCATTTTTTATCTATCATGAAATACAGTTTTCAGTAAATTTTACCTAAATGTAAAAGAGAAAAAGCAATATTGAGGTTGAAATATAGAATTGATGTCCTATGAATAGTTTTCTAATTATGAAAAAACTTGGTAAAAAACATTTAAAGATCAAATAACTGTGCTGTATGATATTAATTGACTTTTTTGAAATAATACTTAATTTTTTTCAGGTGACATTCCTACTTACGGGAAATCGGGCAACAGAGAAGAGACTGACGATATCCTTGACTACGATAAAGAATTAGAAGAAGAGAACAGCGATGACGATTGTGAAATCGTAGATGTCCCTAGTGGTTGGAACTCCGTAGATCCCACTAATCAAGGTAGTTAATAATTATTTTCACCATCATCATTAGAGGTTGTAGGAATGGTTATATTCAAGTGTTCTTCCTCTACTGCTGCTTTTAACACCAATAATAATAATTATAATGAAAATAATAATATTCTAATCAATTTCAGTAGCGAAGTTAAAGGGGGGGGGGAGCAACGCCCACCCAAAGCAATTTGTGGGAATGTAATCGTTAAATAGTTTCAATATTTTCCAATATACCCCAAATATCGATCATCAGGAATTACTGGACGAATTTTCAAAGATAATTCTCAATTGGGTTGATTCCTATTTGAAGGAGAATTGACATTCTTAATATGTGACAGATTCCTAAATTTGGCGTTTGAAGTTGAGCCATCAACAACGAAGGGTTCACAGTTGAAGTGAACCAAGTCTATGTTTGGTGAATCTGAGGGAGTCTGGAGTTTTTTTTTCAAGTACCTCATTCAAATATAATGCGTTCTTGACAAAATTGAACATGCAATTTAAAGCCTACAGTAGTCTGCATTACACTGAACATCGAATTATCCAAAGCAGCAAAAGTGCTGTTATCAAAAAAGTATTTATACACACTTACATAAAACATTTGCATTTTCATCTCGGTCAACATATTTGAATTTAATAGCCAAAATGAAGCTGATAACAAACACCTGGGCATTTCTAACCTGGAGCAGTCAATAATTTTCCTTCTGAATGCATTATATTTGTTTATCAGTGCTCAACTCATAAACCATTCATTTTGATTTTTTGTTCGAGGGGCTTTTAGACCAAAGTGCCGTCATTGAATAAAAAAAGTGGAATAGTATCAGCTTTAAGAAAATTATTCTTCTCTCATGTTGGACTTCTTTCACTTTTACAGTGAAGATTCTATGAACATAGAAGAGAAAACCTCAACCTGAAAAATACTAACTCCATATTTGAAATGGCACTGATTTAATAAATTCTCTTTTGCACTTTAGGGGCTAAAGTATGTCTCTCACTACCTGAAACAGATACTAAAACGATCCCTAGTGACTATGGTGAACCATTCATTCCAAATCAAACTGACAAAATGACCAATTGGTTCTAGTTAAAACCAATTCGATCATTGATGGTTTTCTTCATTCTAGTTACAAGAAAGTGTGAAAATATTGCATATGATATCTATAAAGTAACTAACAGCTACTTGTCAAATTAGATTGTAACATCGATAAGTTGAGTAATTGGTTAATAGTCTTCCAGAGAGTGCATAGTCTTTGGGCAATGATTCACTCGCGTGGTACCATTCAGAAGATAATACATTATACAGCTATCACCCAAATTGCAATGTTTTGTGAATACGCATCATGAAAAAATTGTTATTTTTCTAGGGATAATGTTTTGCACATACATTTGACAGAATAGTTTTCATCGTGAAAACTGTTATAGATAGGTATAGGGAATTATTATGAAAAGTTATAAGGTATCTTATAAGGATTTAATAAATGACATAATATCGGGGTGCTGATTTTAAAATGAAGTAGCTACTACATTTTTATATAAGTGGCAACAGCGGATAGAGCATTTTTGATCATCCACGCCCACACATTTTCGGAATGATCTGTCGTTTTGTTCTCTAGACACTTCTAATGTTCCATCCACCCTGAAACACCGTGTATTTTAAAGGGACCAACTTGGAGCAACGTTTCATTGGTTTCCTACTTCGAGGAAGCAATATGCAAATCACAAATTTGACAAACTCCACGGAAATTCGAATTTCAGGTTTCGACTCCTCACAGATCACTCCCCAAGAAGTCCAGATCCTCGGCGAGGAGCCCGACGTGAGCACCGGCGTGGGGGCCGCCCTCCGGCTGGCCATGAGCAAGGGCTACCTTGACAAGGAGCAGAACAACCGGCCGTCGAACTCGCGGCTGGCCCATCTGCAAGCCAAGAACTACTCCATCGAGGACAAGTCGTACGGCGAGGAGAACGACAGGCAGGGCAGGAGAGAGAGGTACGTTATTTTTATTCATTTATTTATACTAATTACAAACGGACTATGTCTAATAAAATGTATCAGTTTGGGAGGTAAGCGAAGAGCATGGAATCAATTAAAGCTAGAACTATATACATTATACATTCAAGAGACTCTAAATCACATCATTCATAACACAATTAATATTACCAGTATTACATAATAAAATAACAACTATAAAAATTTAAAATAGTTTAATAGATCACAGGTGAGAGAGAAGTGAAGTTTCAAATGTTTTTAAGAAGATGTTAAAAGTTGTTGAGCAGCTGTTGATAGGAGAACTCACAGTACATATTTTGGAAACAGTATTTTTGGATCTCAGTCGTATATCAGGTACATTGATGTGAATATTCATTAATAAGTCAGGTACATTAACCAAATTATATGTAAGATATCAAAAATAAACAAGATCTGAATTTTCTCATGACGTTCACTCAAAGTCTCTATGTGGAAATCAATCTTTTGGTGTTCATATCAATCAATCACTTCATTATTCCCAAGAAACAACATTTGTTTATAGCAGAGAACATGGTGAATATACAGGGTGTCCTTAAAAGGTCTTTACAAAAAGCTACCACATATTCTTCAGACCAAAACAATTCGATACAAGCAAACTTACCTCAGTAAAAAGTTGCTTAGTTTGGGCGCTAGACGGCTCTGAAGTTGAAATTTTCAAATCGATTTTGCTTCATTACTTTTGAACGGCTCATGAGATTTTTTTCAAATTTGGTACGTTGGCATAGACTCATCGGGCAATGAAACTCATATCATAATCATAATGAATATCATTCCATGGGCGTAGAACTTGATTTTTTCAGGAAATAAACATCTAAAACTCCTACGCCAATGGAAAAAAATTAGTTTCAATATGAAATCTAAATTATTCAACTCATTCACTACAAAAAAGGTACTCTTGACAAAAGTCGATTCCTCTCATGGTTTCGACAAAATTTTAATTTTAGTGATTTAGAGCATAATTAATAATAAAACGATTAACAGATATTTCATGAAAATTGTTCAAAATGTTCACCATTTTCACGTATACAAAGATTTATACGACGCAAAAAGTTGAAATGTACTCTTTGCATAACTTCTTCATCGCCTGTAAGATTATTCGTCGCCTGTTGGATACGTTGCCATAATTGTTCTACAGTATTCACAGGGGTCTTGTAAACCGTAGACTTGAGATAACCCCATACAAAATAATCCATCGGTGTTAAGTCTGGAGAACGTGGTGGCCAATTCACGGGTGCATCATTACCTCTACCTATCCATCTGTCTGGGTACTGTTGGTTTAAAAAATTCCTAACATCCACCGAGAAATGTGGTGGAGCTCCATCGTGCATAAACCACATATCTACCCGATGTTGGAGTGGTAAATCTTCCAACAAATTTGGCAACGTATTTCGTAGATGTTGTAAATACATGTCTCCTGTTAATCTTTGTGGAAGTATGACAGGACTAATTATAAAATTTCCTATTATTCCAGCCCAAACGTTGATTTTGAATTCGTGTTGAAAATGGTTTATTTTAATGGAATGAGGATTTTCAATTGCATAAACGTGTTCATCATGAAAATTAGTTATTCCTCTTCTCGTGAAACAGGCTTCATCAGTGAACAAAATATTCTTTCCAAAGTTCAGATTCATTTCTCTTTGCAAATTAATGAACCTACAAAACATCAGACGACTTTGTGAATCATGGATTAATAAATCTTGAACTGTCGTCTTGTGGTATGGGTATAATAATTGTTCTCTTAGTACTTCATGAACGGCATTCCTAGAAACTTCTAGTTCATTACTTATCCGTCTAGTACTCAATTCTGGATTTTCTTCAATACGGTCTAAAATTTCTACTTCGACTTCGGGAATCCTTACATAACGCTGTCTTCCATAATCACCAGTTCTAGGAGCAAAATGACCGGTCTCCCGAAGACGTCTCTCAACTGCAGCAAAGGTTGGGTGGCTTGGTACGCGACGATTTGGAAACCTTGCCGAATACACCCTCACACTCTCTCGACCATTTCCTTGACAATATCCGAATACCAATAACATATCGGTGTATTCTTCATTGGTGTATTGTACGGCCATGATAAATCAGAAAAGTCCGATATCAACAATCAACGTCAATAAAACTCGACAAATCAACACAGATGAAACTATGGAAACCAAGAATGTGAATATCACTGTTTTCGAGCAGATAATAATAGTCTTCAGAAAAAAAAACCAGTGCTACTTATTTTCAATAGAAATAACCTATGCAAAAAGTACATCTCAACTTTTTGCGTTGTATAAATCTGTGTATACGTGAAAATGGTGAACATTTTGAACAATTTTTATGAAATATCTGTTAATCGTTTTATTATTGATTATGCTCTTAATCACTGAGATTAAAATTTTGTCGAAACCATTCGACCATTTGTCAAGAGTACCTTTTTTGTAGTGAATGAGTTGAACAATCTAGATTTCATATTGAAACTAACTTTTTCCATTGGCGTAGGAGTTTTAGATGTTTATTTACTGAAAAAAGCAAGTTCTACGCCCATGGAATGATATTCATTATGATTAGGATTTCAACTTTTTGCGTCGTATAAATCTTTGTTCACGCGACAATAGTGAACATTTTGGAAAACTTTCATGCAATATCTATCAATCGTTTTATTATTTAAATATGCGCGAAATCACTAAAACTTAAATATTGTCGAAACCATCAGAGTAATCGAATTTTATCAGTAGTACCTTTTTTGTAGTGAATGATTTGGGCTATCTAGATGTCATACTGAAACTGATTTTTTTTCATTGGCGTAGAAGTGTTAGATGTTTATTTCCTGAAAAAATCAAGTTCTACGCCCATGGAATGATATTCATTATGATTATGATATGAGTTTCATTGCCCGATGAGTCTATGCCAACGTACCAAATTTGAAAAAAATCTCATGAGCCGTTCCAAAGTTATGAAGCAAAATCGATTTGAAAATTTCAACTTCAGAGCCGTCTAGCGCCCAAACTAAGCAACTTTTTACTGAGGTAAGTTTGCTTGTATCGAATTGTTTTGGTCTGAAGAATATGTGGTAGCTTTTTGTAAAGACCTTTTAAGGACACCCTGTATAAATATATTTGACAAAATGAAGAAGATAGTAAAATAAGACTCGCACTCAAGACGAAATCTTTTTTCAAGTTCAACTGAAAATTATTCTCAATTGACTCAGCTTTTAGGTACCCAATGGAAAACCATAGTAATTGTACGAGAAAACAATAAAAATGAGATGAGATGTCAATATTACAGGAGTAGATGTTTCTTGAATTCCTTTTTGAATTTTTCATTCCTATTAATCAGCTTCAAGTTATTTGGTAGTGAATTGTATTGTATCATTCCATTGTGATAGATGGATTTTTAACCAATATCTGATTTAATTTTCTTGACAGATAGATGATCTGCTTGTCTAGTTGTATGGTAGTGGTGACTACTATTAATTTGGAAAACCAAATTCGAATTCTTTTGACAATATTTAACTCAATGAATGAATGAATGATAATAATTTGAATTTATATGGTGAATCTATATCTACTAACTCCATTATATACATTTGATAATTTTATTTTGAAGAGTCTTAAAAGGCTTCATAATTGATAGTTTTGTTGATCCCCATACAGAAATCGAATTATCAAGTTTGGAATATATCAAGGAGAAGTATATAGATTTGATACATTGGATTGGATATACACCATATTTTTTCAATTGCATAGACCTCAGGAGTTTCTTCTGAATCTTTTCAATCACATTAGAATATAATTTTGTCTCAGGATTCTATATAATACAACAGTACTCCAACTTTGATCTGATATATGAGTTGATACTGAAAATCCTGACTGGTTCTCATTATAAAACCTAGTTTAAATAGCACTCCCTGCTCAGGTGCTTAGCATGTTCATTGAATGAAAAATTTTTGGTGAAAACTATACCTAGATCTTCGATTTCATCTAATATTTCCAGTTCAACATCGTTGATGGAATAGTTTATAAAGAATTCTTTTTTGTGTGAAAGTGAAAGGTCATTATCATTGAAATACTTAGTGATCTAATTAATAATACCTTGAAATGTTTTTGTATCCTCTACTGTCTGTAGTTTGTTATTTTGTTAGTTTTGCCAGGTTTGTGAATCAAAATTATGCGCCCAACTTTGGAACCATCAGGAAATGTATTAGATTCCAATGATTTATCAAAAATAATTCGTAGGTTGGTATTCCATCTACACCCATTGCAGATGTAGGTTTCATTGATTGAATATCAGATATTTGGATGTTTTCTATTTGTAGACTGATAAGACCATAATTTTTATGTTCACTGTCCCGGGGGATGGCTGTATTTCCACCATATACCTATTTGAAGTAGTCTGCTAAGGCATTGGAAATATCCTTGTCAGATTCAATTATCTCATCTTTGTACACAACTCTATTGGCGATAGATAGATCAGAAAATCCCAGAAGTATTCCAGATCATTATTGATTTGTTCTACAATGGTCTCAATATGATTTTCGTGGCATGTTCTAATCAGTAATTTGGTTTCACTTCACATTTTTCTATACCTTTGCAGATAATCTGGATTATGTTTTGATGTTTTGCATACACATTTCTTCAATTTAATTTTTTGGACAAGTTCTTTGGAGAACCAATGTGGATATTTGTTTCTGTATTTTCTTTTATGTGGAATACATTCATCCTAGATCTTGTACAAAATGTTATAGAACTGAGCAGTGCATTCATTTGGATCATTTGAGTTGCCATATTGTAATCATAATTATGATTAATCTTTTTATCACCTTGTGCATGTTGTCCTTTTTTACAACTTATTTTATTTTTCACCTCTTTCAAAAATACTTTCATTAAACGGAAAAATTTGTCCCATCCTGTATAAAATAGAACAGAATAGAATAGAATAGAACTTTATTTACGGTTATCCATTGCATACATTATAATCAC